ATTAGAGCGTTAATTCGTGCGGTCGTCGAGATCGCTCGAGAAACTTCATCGCTTCGAATCTTTGTTGATTCGACTTTCGAGCAATGTCAACGTCGAGAGCGAGTGTTTGTGTGCCGATGACGACGAGAGTCTTTCGACGCAGAAAAAAGGCCCTCGTCGTACTTGGTGTGTTACCCCCTGATTCGTCGCTCGTTGCTGGGCCGATGTTATCGGCGAATCACGTTATCGCCTCCCAAATCAAAGCCGCGAGCCGTTCGAGTTCGCGCGACGAAAAGTCAGTACGAATCTGGAGAGCGACGGGTCGAGAGGGCTCCGTCGAAGCGTCCGTGCGAACCTGGCGCAAAATAAATCGTCTTCATTGTCATTAACGGGGGAACCTGACCGAAGGCTCCCGCCGCCGGCAACAAAGTGGTCCTTCGAGCCGAATCAAAGTGGTAAACCGGATACGCGACTCTCCGTTCGTGCTCATCCTGCGGGCGCACAAACTGCTCCGCCGCATCGGAAAGGTAACGGACGTCGCAACTCGCGTCCGTCGGTGCGTCGACTCCCGCGCCGAAGCCTTACAAACTTCGCTCGCGGAAGGTGACACTCGCGAAATCCGCTGCTCCACGCGTTTCGCGTAGTGAAAATTATCGTGCTATTCGCGGACGCTCCTTACGCTCCGTCGAGCTAGTGACTCACGCGAACGCGGCTACTCGCGTCTCGCTAGTGCATTGACTCTTGCGGAAAACGCGATTTGCGTTCCGCCCGTAATCGTGACTTTCGTCGACGCGACGAGCTCCTCGTTTCGAGAACTAATTCGCGAGTGCCGCTACGCGCACCCTGATTCCAAACGTACCTCACGATGGCCGAGGAAATCGAGAATCTGATCTTAGCGCAAGAGTACAAAATTGGTGCTCTCAAACGCGTGCTCATCAACTACAAGAAACTCCCGAAGGCGAGCGTGACGGTGCCGACGATCCAGAGCCGCATCTCCCAGCTGAAGGAGCTCTGGGCCGCCTGTAGCAACTAACATGTCCTGTTGTTGCAGACTGCTACGTCCGGGGAGCTAAAGAGCCAGCCCTACTTCGTGGACAACGTAATCCTGGAAGCCGAGGACGTCTATGCCAACACCAGCGACATTCTACAAAACGCGCTAAGTAGACTGTTACCCGCTAACATTAATTCTTCATTATCCGACAGTCACGACGAGTCTGTTTCGCGCGAGTCGGGTTCTCAGATCTCACGATTGCCACGTATATCGTTGCCAAAATTTACCGGTAAAATTGCGGAATGGGAGAGTTTTCGAAATATGTTCGAGTCTCTCGTGGCCTGTAACGTTTCGCTTTCTAAAGTGCAGAAATTTCATTACTTAAAAACAAGCGTTACCGGTGAAGCCGCGGTGCTGATCAATAGCTTGAAAATTTCGGAGGCTAATTACGACTCCGCGTGGCAATTGCTGATCGACGAATACGACGACAAGCAAACCTTAGTTTATACGCATTTGCACGCGTTTGCTAGTCTACCTGTGATGAAAACGGAGAATGTGAACGACTTGCAAAAACTCTGCGATACGGTCTCTTCGTCGTTAACCGCGCTAAAGAATCTCGATCGTCCGGTAAATGAGTGGGACGATCTGCTCGTTTATCTTATTGCTCAAAAGTTTAGTCCTCGCACTCGCAGCGAATGGAATTTGAAACGTACGGAATTCGCCAAGCTTTCGTCTTACAAAGATATTAATGACTTTCTAACTCTACGCATTCGCGGATTATGCGATCTTTCCGATTCGCCGAAAGATACTCGTCGTTACAGAGACGATAAGCCGCGCTCGTCGGTTAATAACGTCACTGCAAACAAATGCGTTGGTTGCTCCGGCAATCATTCGGTTTCGAAATGTAAAGAGTTTCTTGATAAAACGGTTGAGCAGCGCGGCGCTTTCGCGCGTCAAAGCAGGCTTTGCCTCAATTGTTTGAGATCCGGGCATTTCCTTCAGCAATGCCCGAGCAAATCTCGATGTTCGCACTGTAGTCGTTCACATCACTCGTTACTACATTTCTCAAATAATGTAAAAGCCGATGCTACGGCAAATTCTTCGAAGATAAGAGCGGAGGCGTAACCGTTCACTCCGACGACGTCCAACGCGCCAGTCGCTGCGAGCAGCAATCATGTCGCGAACAAACGGACCGGT